TGAAAACCAACAGTGGAAGGTAGTACAGTAAAGGGGGGAAAAATAATCAAAGAGGAAAACAAACCATGTTTAGTAACATAAATAAACAAATATGGCTGGAAGAACAACCCATATCTCAATAATAACCCTAAATGTTAATGGCTTAAACTCACCAATTAAGAGACACAGGCTAGTAGAATGGATCACAAAACAAGACCCAACAATATGCTGCCTACAGGAGATGCATTTGATAGGAAAAGACATACATAGACTGAAGGTGAAAGGTTGGGAAAAATCATATCACTCATATGGACTTCGGAAACAAGCAGGACTGTCCATACTCATATCAAATAAAATAGATTTCACGCCAAAGTTAATCAAAAGGGATAAAGAGGGACACTACATACTGCTCAAGGGAACCATACACCAACAAGACATAACAATCATAAATATATATGCCCCAAACAATGGTGCAGCTATGTTCATCAAACAAACTCTTCTCAAGTTGAAGAGTCTAATAGACCACCATACAATAATCATGGGAGACTTCAACAGACCTCTCTCACCACTGGACAGATTTACAAACAAAAGTTGAATAAGGAAACTATAGAACTCAATAACACAATTAATAACCTAGACTTCATTGACATATATAGAATATACCACCCAACATCAAGCAGTTACACTTTTTTCTCAGCAGCACATGGATCCTTCTCAAAAATAGATCATATATTATGTCACAGGGCAACTCTTAGACAATATAAAGGAGTACATATAATACCATGCATCTTATCTGATCATAATGGAATGAAACTGAAAATCAACGATAAAAGAAGGAAGGAAAAATCATGAATCACTTGGAGAATGAACAATAGGTTACTGAATGATCAATGGGTTATAGAAGACATCAAGGAGGAAATTAAAAAATTCTTAGAGATAAATGAAAACACAGACACAACATATCGGAATCTATGGGACACATTGAAAGCAGTTCTAAGAGGAAAATTCATTGCTTGGAGTTCATTCCTTAAAAAAAGGAAAAAACCAACAAATAAATGATCTCATACTTCATCTCAAAATCCTAGAAAAAGAAGAGCAAAACAACAGCAAAAGAAGTAGAAGGCAAGAAATAACTAAAATCAGAGCTGAAATTAATGAAATCGAAACAAAAGAAACAATTTAAAAAATTGACAAAACTAAAAGTTGGTTCTTTGAAAAAATAAATAAAATCGACAGACCCTTAGCCATGCTAAGGAAGAGAAGAAGAGAGAGAACTCAAATTACTAGCATACGGGATGAAAAAGGCAATATCACAAATACAGAAGATAATCAGAAATTATTTTGAATCCTTATACTCCAATGAAATAGAAGATAGTGAAGGCATCGATAAATTTAAGTCATATGATCTGCCCAGATTGAGTCAGGAGGATACAGACAACCTAAACAGACCAATATCAATTGAGGAAATAGAAGAAACCATCAAAAGACTACCAACTAAGAAAAGCCCAGGACCGGATGGGTATACAGCAGAGTTTTACAAACCTTTAAAGAGGAACTAATACCAATACTTTTCAAGCTATTTCAGGAAATAGAAAAAGAGGGAGAACTTCCAAATTCATTCTACGAGGCCAACATCACCCTGATTCCTAAACCAGACAAAGACACTTCAAAGAAAGAAAACTACAGACCAATATCTCTAATGAACCTAGATGCAAAAATCCTCAATAAAATTCTGGCCACTCGGATACAAAAACATATCAAAAAAATTGTGCACCATGATCAAGTAGGATTCATCCCTGGGATGCAAGGATGGTTCAATATACGGAAATCAATAAATGTTATTCACCACATCAATAGACTTAAAAATAAGAACTATATGATCATCTCGATAGATGCAGAAAAAGCATTCGACAAAGTACAGCATCCCTTTATGTTCAAAACTCTAGAAAAACTAGGGATAACAGGAACATACCTCAATATTGTAAAAGCAATCTATGCTAAGCCTCAGGCTAGCATCATTCTGAATGGAGAAAAATTGAAGGCATTCCCTCTAAAATATGGAACAAGACAAGGATGCCCTCTCTCACTTCTGTTCAACATAGTTCTCGAAACACTGGCCAGAACAATTAGACAGATGAAAGACATTAAAGGCATAAAAATAGGAAAAGAAGAACTTAAATTATCACTATTTGCAGATGACATGATTCTATACCTAGCAGACCCAAAAGGGTCTACAAAGAAACTATTAGAGCTAATAAATGAATTCAGCAAAGTGGCAGGATATAAAATCAACATGCATAAATCAAAGGCATTCCTGTATATCAGGGACAAATCCTCTGAAATGGAAATGAGGACAACCACTCCATTCACAATATCCTCAAAAAAAAATAAAATACTTGGGAATCAACCTAACAAAAGAGGTGAAAGACTTATACAATGAAAACTACACAACCCTAAAGAGAGAAATAGAAGAAGATCTTAGAAGATGGAAAAATATACCCTGTTCGTGGATAGGCAGAACTAACATTGTCAAAATGGCGATATTACCAAAAGTTCTCTATAGGTTTAATGCAATGCCAATCAAAATCCCAACAGCATTTCTTGTAGAAATGAGAAAGCAATCATGACATTCATATGGAAAAATAAAAGACCCAGAATAGCAAAAACAATGCTAAGCAGGAAGTGTGAATCAGGCGGTATAGCGATACCAGACTTCAAACTATACTACAGAGCAATAGTAACAAAAACAGCATGGTACTGGTACCAAAACAGGCGGGTGGACCAATGGTACAGAATAGAGGACACAGAAACCAATCCACAAAACTACAACTATCTTATATTTGATGAAGGGGCTAAAAGCATGCAATGGAGGAAGGATAGCATCTTCAACAAATGGTGCTGGGAAAACTGGAAATCCATATGCAACAAAATGAAACTGAATCCCTTTCTCTCGCCATGCACAAAAGTTAACTCAAAATGGATTAAGGAGCTTGATATCAAATCAGAGACACAGCGTCTGATAGAAGAAAAAGTTGGCTACGATCTACATACTGTGGGGTCGGGCTCCAAATTCCTCAATAGGACACCCATAGCACAAGAGTTAATAACTAGAATTAACAAATGGGACTTAATAAAACTAAAAAGGTTTTTCTCAGCAAAAGAAACAATAAGAGGGGCTGGGGATGTGGCTCAAGCGGTAGCGCGCTCGCCTGGCATGCGTGCGGCCCGGGTTCGATCCTCAGCACCACATACAAAGATGTTGTGTCCACCAAAAACTAAAAAATAAATAAATATTAAAAATTCTCTCTCTCTCTCTCTCTTTAAAAAAAAAAAAAGAAACAATAAGAGAGGTAAATAGGGAGCCTACATCCTGGGAACAAATCTTTACTCCTCACACTTCAGATAGAGCCCTAATATCCAGAGTATACAAAGAACTCAAAAAATTAGACAATAAGATAACAAATAACCCAATCAACAATGGGCCAAGGACCTGAACAGAAACTTCTCAGAGGAGGACATACAATCAATCAACAAGTACATGAAAAAATGCTCACCATCTCTAGCAGTCAGAGAAATGCAAATCAAAACTACCCTAAGATACCATCTCACTCCAGTAAGATTGGCAGCCATTATGAAGTCAAACAACAACAAGTGCTGGCGAGGATGTGGGGAAAAGGGTACACTTGTACACTGCTGGTGGGACTGCAAATTGGTGCGGCCAATTTGGAAAGCAGTATGGAGATTTCTTGGAAAGCTGGGAATGGAACCACCATTTGACGCAGCTATTCCCTTTCTTGGTCTATTCCCTAAAGACCTAAAAAGAGCATGCTACAGGGACACTGCTACATCGATGTTCATAGCAGCACAATTCACAATAGCAAGACTATGGAACCAACCTAGATGCCCTTCAATAGACGAATGGATAAAAAAAATGTGGCATTTATACACAATGGAGTATTACTCTGCATTAAAAAATGACAAAATCATAGAATTTGCAGGGAAATGGATGGCATTAGCGCAGATTATGGTAAGTGAAGCTAGCCAATCCCTAAAAAACAAATGCCAAATGTCTTCTTTGATATAAGGAGAGTAACTAAGAACAGAGTAGGGACGAAGAGCATGAGAAGAAGATTAACATTAAACAGGGATGAGAGGTGGGAGGGAAAGGGAGAGAGAAGTGAAATTGCATGGAAATGGAAGGAGACCCTCAGGGTTATACAAAATTACATACAAGAGGAAGTGAGGGGAAAGGGAAAAAAAATACAAGGGAGAGAAATGAATTACAGTAAAGCAGGTAGAGAGAGAAGAGGGGAGGGGAGGGGAGGGGAGGGGGGATAGTAGAGGATAGGAAAGGCAGCAGAATACAACAGACACTAGTATGGCAATATGTAAATCAATGGATGTGTAACTGATGTGATTCTGCAATCTGTATACGGGGTAAAAATGGGAGTTCATAACCCACTTGAATCAAAGTGTGAAATATGATATATCAAGAACTATGTAATGTTTTGAACAACCAACAATAAAAATTAAAAAAAAAAAAGACAGTAGAATGAACTGGACACAACTTTCCTATGTTCTTTTTTTAAAATGTTTATTTTAGCTATAGATGAATACCTTTATTTATTCATTCATTCATTCATTTATTTATTCGTTCATTCATTCATTCATTCTCCTTTTGGTACACTGGGAATTGAACTCAGGAGCATTCTACCTCTGTGTCTCTGAACTACATCCACAGCCCTTTTTTTATTGTGGCGCTGATAATCAAAGCCTCACATGTGCTAGGCAAGCGCTCTACCACTGAGCCACAACCCCAGACCCTTTCTTATGTTCTTATATGAATACATGACCAAAGTAACTCCACATCATGTACAACCACAAAAATAGGAAGTTATGCTCCATGTATGTATGATATGTCAAAATATTTTCTACCATGTATAACTTAAAAAACCAAATAAATAATTAAACAAAAAAAACCCTGTAAATTCAGGTTTAAAAAGCAATGAAAAGAAACTCACGTCGATGCATCTCTCGGTAAAGAATAGTCAGTGCCTGTAGTGAGTTGTCATCTGTGGGTTCAAGGGCTGCCACCTCCTGTGCCAAGGTGAAGGCTTCCTCTTGCTTCCCAGTTCTCTGTAAACCAATTGCTTTTAAAACCTGTCAGGAAGGAGAAAAAAATCAAGTTTTTAAAAGTACAGAGCTGGGCACTGTGGCACACACCTATAATCCCAGTCGCTCAGGAAGCTGAGACAGGAGGATCATGAGTTCAAAGCCAGCCTCAGCAACAGCGAGGCACTAAATAACTCAGTGAGACCCTGTCTCTAAATACACACACACAAAAAAAATAGGGCTCAGTGGTTGAGTGACCTTGAGTTCAATCCCTCATACCCAAAATAAATAAATAAAAGTACAGAAAAGGAGCTGGGCATGGTGGCACACGCCTGTGATCCTAGTGACACAGTAGGCTGAGGTAGGAGGATTGCAAGTTCAAGGCCAACCTCAATAACTTACCAAGACCGAAGCCATTTATCGAGACCCTGTCTCAAATTTAAAAAAGAGACTGGGGATGTGGCCCCTAAATTCAATCCCGGGTACCAAAAAAAAAATACAGAAAAGGAAATGTATAAAGAACCAAAGAGGGGGCTGGGGTTGTGGCTCAGAGGTACAGCGCTTGCCTAGCACATGCGAGTCCCTGGTTTGAGCCTCAGTGCCACATAAAAATAAAGGTACTGTATCCAACTACAACATATATATAAATAAATAAATACCAAAGGGACTGGGGATACATCTCAGTTGGTAGAGTGCTTACCTTGCATACACAAGGCCCTGAGTTCAATCCCCAGCAACACATACACACACACACACACACACACACACACACACAGAGAAATACCAAAGAAGGCAAATTTAAAAGCAGAAATTATAAGGTATCCCTTGGATGCTGCTCAATTAAACCTGTCTTTACTAAAAGTATAAGCAAATCAAGATTCCTTCCTATTTCAGTCATACTAAGAATAAATGATATTGTTTAGAAGAACAATGAAAACGAAAGTATTTGAATTAGATAAGTAATATCACAAATATAAACTAATTTTCAATTAAGTACTATTAATGGCATGTGAAGTGATCAGAAAAGTACTATTAAATACTCTGAAAAAATCCAAACAGTCACTAAAAAAATCAAATGTCTTTGGGCTAGGAACTTAGCTCAATGGTAGAGTACCTGACTAGTACGAACAAGGCCCTGGGTTCAATCCCTGGTACCACAAAAACAAAAACAAAAAAGTTGAAATATCCTTTCCATTTAAAGAATTATAACCCTAATCCACAAATTAAATAACTTAAGGGCAAAGGGACTTACCTTAGCGCAATGAAGATCTTTATGCTTCTTCAACAGTTTATCTGCTTGCTGAATTGCCATTTTGTTATTACCATTATCAAGATAATCTGTGAAAAAAAAAGAAATTATATATTGTTATATTTCTTCAACAACAAATATGAAAATGCACAGGCTGCTTTCATTTGTTTCAGAAAGTATCTTAATTTGCCATTAAAACCATCATGGTGGGTGTTGGGATACAGCTCAGTAGGGATGGAGCTTGCACTTGTCTAGCATGCACAAACCTAAAAGAAAATTTAAAAGATTCATGGAGGGACCAAGGGTGTCATTCCATCATGTAAAGTCTATTTAGTATGTATAAGGCCCTGCACCAAAAACAAAAGAAAAAAAAAAAAGATGATTTTAATTCTAAATGGCTAGGATGGCCCAGAAAATGACTTTACATTTCTATATACAACTCTATATTCCAAAAGCAATATAAGCAGGCTATATTAATCCTTAGTGAAAATTCAAGACTACATGGATGGGCTGTAACCTGCCCTCTCACATGTGAGGCACTGGGTTCCATCCTTAACACCATATAAAAGTAGATAAAATAAAGGTATTGTGTCTAACTACAACTAAAACAAAATTAAATATTTATTAAGTATTTACTTTGTTACATAGCTAATTACTCAGTGAAAAAGAAAATTAAAGGTTTTCTCCATAAGCCTAGAATATAGGGAACAAAGCAGGACAGGATGTAGGGAAAAATGACACTTTCAAAACTGATTAAAACAGAAGCTAGCACTTACTTTGAAGAACAATTTACTTCTAGGTTTCCCAAAGCTACATATGTACCTATACCTATTCAAAAACAATTTTTTATTGAATGTATTTGAGGTATACATGATATACACATATATGACATACAAATATGGACAATACATAGTAAAATGCTTACTATAATTAAGCAAATTAATATAACCGTCACCTCATATTGTTACTATTTTTGTGGGTGGTTAGAGCAACCTAACATTTGCTCAGCTAATTCTCATTGTATAGTACAATATTATTAACTACAATCCTCATGCTGTTTGTTAGAGCTCCAGAGTTATTCATAATAGTAACTACAAGTTTGTCCCCTTTTACCTACATCTCCCCTGTTCCTCCCCCTCTTTACTACTGGATGCAGGCGCGTGCACGTGCGCGCGTGCGCTCTCTCTCTCTCTCTCTATATATATATATACATACACACACACACACACACACACACACACACTTCTACATATAACTGTTAAACTCTACTTTCTGCTCATTTTCTATAACCTAAAACTGCTCTAAAAATAAAGTCTATAATTAAAAAAGAAAGTCTAAGCTCAGATTCATTTATGGAGAAGAAAAACGAGAAGTGTGGTAAATGGGAAGCAGTGCAATGTCGGTCAGTCCAATTCAGGTTCCTCTCTGCTCATTAACAGATTCCAGGTTAGCACAGGCCTGGACGACTCAAAATATATGGTCCTGGTGGTGCAAAGTTTCAAATAACAGAAACAGACTATCATTTTGTTTATTTAGTTTAGTTTTTTTTTTTTTTAATGTGGTGCTGGGGATGGAACCCAGTGCCTCACGCATGCTAGGCAAGTGCTCTACCACTGAGCCACAACCCAGCCCCTCATTTTATTATATGGTTTAGATTTTCCTCCAATAAACTCTCAGTAAATCTTTCAACAGACCCCAACTGAATACATGAAATTCATCTCTAATCTTTCTTGAGTGAAGTTAATGTTGATAAGCACCAATAAAGCAAGGTAAAAAGATGAGAAACCTTACTCTGTAGGGAATTCAATCTAGAGAGGAAGATCAAAGAACTAACATTTGGCTGGGGTGCGGTGGCACAAACCTGTAATCCCAATGGTTTGGGAGGCTGAGACAGGAGACTCAAGAGTTCAAAGCCAGCCTCAGCAACTGCGAGGCACTAAGCAACTGAGTGAGACCCTATCTCTAAATAAAATATAAAACAGGGCTGAGATTGTGGCTCAGTGGTAGAGCACTTGCCTAGCATATGTAAGGCACTGGGTTCGATTCTTAGCACCACATACAAATAAAGAATAAAATAAAAAATTTCATCAACAACTAATAAAAATATTTTTTAAAAATACAAAATAGGGCTGGGGATATGGCTCAGTGGTCGAGTATACCTGAGTTCAATCCCCAGTACCAAAAATAAATAAATAAAAAGATCTAACATTTAGATAGAGGGATTAATGAATCATAGGAATTGATTGAAAAGCATACAATTTTGACCTGAATACTGAAATAACTAAAGCCAATTTTCTTAAATCCTTAGCTCAGCTGACAGGCCTTTATTTATCCTTATAGAATAGAGGACAGATAAACCAACCCAATAAACGAAAACTTCTCTTCCTAGTCAATTGATGCTGATTTATTCTGAGTCAGTTCTAAGTTACTTCTGACTCAGTCCTGCAAAATTCAGGTTCACAGAATATATCTTGAGTAGACATCTTAAACCAGGCCTGGTGGTGCATGCCTGTAATCCCATTGGCTCAGGAGGCTGAGGCAGAAGGATTGAGAGTTCAAAGCCAGTCTCAGCAAAAGCCAGGCACTAAGAAAGTCAGTGAGACCCTGTCTATATATAAAATACAAAATAAACCTGGGGATGTGGCTCAGTGATCAGGGCCCCTGAGTTTAATCCTTGGTACCAAAAAAGAATAAAAAGAAGATAGACATCTTAGGCACAGTGGTGCATGCCTATAATCTGAGCAATTCAGGAAGCTGAGGCAAGAGGATCACAAATTCAAGGCCAACCTTGGGCTGGGGATGTGGCTCAAGTGGTATCGCGCTCGACTGGCATGCGCGGGGCACTGGGTTCGATCCTCAGCACCACATAAAAATAAAATAAAGATATTGTGCCCAACAAAAACTGAAAAATAAATATTAAAAAAAAAAAGGCTAGCCTCAGCAACTTAGTGAGACCCTAAGCAATGTAGTGAGACCGTGTCTCAAAATAAAAACTTTTAAAAGGGCTAGGGGTGTAGTTCAGCAGTAAAGCACCCCTGAGTTAAATCCCCAGTACGAAAACAACCCCCTCCCCCAAAAAAACTAACTAGACATCTCAAAGTGTAGACACATTTGATAAAACCCAACTCTGAGAGCTTACCCATAAATGAATCAGTCCAGAAGTCAGGACTTTAAGGACATTTTCCTATTCCCTCTGTAGTTGACAAGGTTCTGACATACAGTACCAATGTGCCTAGCCCTATTTTCTGAGAGTGGTTTCCATTGTCCTTGTTAACAGGGTACAACTACATGACCATGTTTAGACCATATAACTGGATGAACTTTTCGCCCAGGCTAGGTCAGATTTCTTCCTCATAATTTTTAACTATAATGAGGAAAGCTTAGTCTAAGAATACTAGTGGCAGCTCCAGAATTTCTGTTTTGAAGAAGCTTTAGAGGACACAAATTAGTTTATGGGGAACAAACGAAAGTGCTACCTCTTGACTTTTTGTTCACAGAGCATTTATACAGGAATAAAAAACATCAATTATCTTTATCAAAACTCTGAGAGACCAGGCAATGCCTGTAATCCCAGTGGCTCAGGAGGCCGAGGCAGGAGGAACTAGAGTTCAAAGCCAGGATCAGCAAGAGCTAGGTGCTAGCCCACTCAGTGAGCCCTGTCTCTAATAAATAAAAAATAAATAAAAAAACTCTGGAGGGAAGGGCAGTCCTGAAGAAGCTTGTTGGGGGATGATAATGAATGAACATTTCCTCCTCTGGCCAAAGCTTGGTATGGCCACAAAGCCAACAGAGTAATGTCCCAAGTGAGCAGTAAAACCAGTCTGAAGAACAAAGCCTAGAAAAATAGAGATGAGCAACTGAGAAATAAGCTTTAGATCATGGCAGCTTTCTAGTTTCCATCAAGAAAGACAAGGGGCACACTTCCTCCCTGCTCTTGATTCCCTCAAGTTTTTAGGAACTACCCTAACTTGAGCTGGTTATCAGTCAGTTTTGTTCCTTGCACCCAAAAGAATTTTAATAAGAAACTTCACTGCATTCAGTCTGATGTCAAACTCTCCTTTCCTCAATGGCTAAGCGACTGATTATTAATGGTTGCTAACCCTCTTTTTATTTTTTTTAATTTTTTATTTTTTAGTTGTAGTTGGACACATTCCTTTCATTTATTGTTATATGGTGCTGAGGATCGAACCCAGGGCCTCGCATGTGCTACGCGAGCACTCTACTGCTGAGCTACAACCCCAGCCCCAAATTTCTTTTTTTAGGAGGAGAAGGAAAAAAAAAAAAAAAAAATATATATATATATATATATATATATGTAATTATTATGTTTTAGTTGTTAATGGACCTTTATTTTATTCATTTATTTATATGGGGTGCTGAGAATCGAACCCAGTGCCTCACATGTGAGGCAAGCTCTCCATCACTGAGCTACAACCCAGCCCTAATTGGTTGCTAACTTTATTGTGGAAAGTTTATTTTCAATTTACACTACTGACTCTCTAACACAAATTACATAGCCCTTAGTGAGGAACTTTGGATTGGACAAAGTGGGTGAGCAAGGGGTATAAGGATAGGAAAGATGGTGGAATGGGATGGTGATCATGACCCTAGGTACATGTATGTTGAGTACAACCAAAGAAGTGAAAAATTCTGCTCCATTTGTGTACGATGAATCAAAGAGCTTTCTGCTGTCGTGTATAACTGATTAGAATGAATGAATAAATAAATAAATGCCAAAAAGAAAGAGTTGAATTTAAAAAAGAAAAAAGAATACCTCTTTAGAGGTCAGCAAAGGCATTCAAATGGTGGGATAAATATTAATTATTTTTAGATCCAGGAAATATCAAGTTACAAGGAATCATGTATTAAATATAAGGTCTATTCCTTTAACTTTAGATGCTAAAAATCTTGTTAATATGTCCTTTTGTTACATTGAGTTAAGTGTTACATTGAGTCAACACATATTAAGTGTTCAAAGTTTTTTGTTTGTTTGTTTGTTTTAAGAGCACCTGAGAACGATTTTTTTCATAGTACCCAGAATTTTAGGTGGAGATGAAGATAACATGTTTTGTAGTTAAAAAATAAAAAT